CGTGGGAACCTAAAGGCTGATAGCAGCACGAATCATCAAACGAACAGGCCATCAATAGAAAAAAGAGCGGGCATACGAACAACCATCCACAAAAACAGAAAAGGCAAGGAACAGGCTCACCATAGGCTAATATATTTATGTGCTTTGGCATGTTGTGAGGGCCCTGCCGCAGCCTCATCAGGATTCCGCATCCACCCCCACTATTTTGTGTTCGGCATTCGTGCGCAAGCAGTCTTATCCTATGCCTTCATCTCAGTGAACCAACCGCATGCCTTCATGGCGGCACAAGGTTGCAGAAGTGTTGAATTTTTTGGGGGGCCGTGTTGTTCACGTAATCCTCATTAATTAGTCAATGAGAAAGGAAAATGTCCCTTGATGCTAACCTGAAGAACGACGGCCCTGTATTCGGTGAAGCAGTTGCAAAACGGGAACGAGGAACAGACCCATGACCTGCTCTCCCTACAGGGCATGCGCAGTTTCCTCAGTCCCTGCCCTCCCTGTGCAAGTGCCCGTGGAATTTTCATTGAGAGTACTACCAAGTGCATGGGTGTGCAGTCATCCCAAACCTTAGAACAGGGGACTGTTGAAAGGCTGTTTGCAGATCATGAAGGGATCTTATCAGTCATCACTCGCCTGCGATATTCAAGATTCCCTCATGGGTCATATGTCCCAACACACTTGCCAAAAGTATTCCCTGATCCGCCCTTCCAGTCATAACTATTCAGACCGCTAAAGTATCCAGCCCGATCAGCCGCTTGTAAGCCCTAACTAGAATTTAACATAGGTGGTACTCACCCCTTTTACTTATAAGTCAATCAAAGTACGGCACCTAATATCTAAGGGTTCCAAAATGGGACTCTAATTATTGGAACTACCCATGTGCTTGCCGAAGCAGCCTGGCAAAGGCAATCAGCTGAAGCAGCGTTCTGGAGTCGCGACTCCACGGTGGAGTTGAAGATACGATCCTGGGGATCATATAGGGATTATGACATGGATCCGACGTTGATTCGCTACTCTTACTACTACTCATACTATTTAATACAAATACCACCACCACTACTACCTACTACTAATTGTTATACTACTGCTACTGCTACCGCTTCCGCTTCTGCTACTGCTAGCTACTGCTACTGCTACTGCTACTGCTCCTGCTCCTGCTCCTGCTCCTGCTACTGCTACTGCCACTGCTACTGCTACTGCCACCACTACCACGGCCGCCGCCGCCGCCGCCGCCGCCACCACCACCACCACCACCACCACCACCAATAGACAAGTTTGACAGTTTTTAGATAACGTGTTAGATCTTACTAGGCGACATCTCATCGAGCGGTATACGCCCTGACCTAATGAGCGCGCAGCGGTCGCAGCAGCAGCAGCAGCAGCAGCAAAGTTAGCATCCGTTGCTTTACCTGCCTGGCACTCGAAATCGTCTTCAGCCGCATAAGCATTAGCAGTAGTGGAATTCGTGGCAGCACTTGTAATGCTGGGGAAGTCAATGGGTTCGGAGGTTTCCGGCAAGTGACATACCATGCATGTCGTCATTGTACCGAAGTTTGCCATCCCCGTTCGTTGAAGGATGGATGCATCGGTAAGCAGGTAGTAATTCATTAGCCTATAGTTAGCTGTCAATGAAGATGGGTAGGGCCAGTGCCAGCTGAGGCTCCTGAATCGACCAGAGGCAATCTGGATCCTGAGGCAGACGAGGACAATCCCAAAACGTTCCCTGAAAACAGTGGTGCATGGCTACGCATGCATGCAGATGCATCAGCCCAAGTACATCATTATGGAGCTCTTTCAACGGAAGGAGACTTAAAGGTTCACTTCAGAGCCAGTCGAACATGACCTCTTAGACCCTAGCATGGCCAGTAAGAATATTCTAGGCATCAAGTGACATGGACGCCCCTCAACACACAATCCCCCCATGAACTCAACAATGGTAGCGAAGGGTTGATGCAATGTGGCTCATGTAGATGCCACCGACAAAACATCGAGAGATTAGCAGGCCCCTAGGCTGGTTCCGCCTTCTTCTCCTTGATGAAGGCCAGCCACGGCTGCCACATCGGATCATCTCGGTCGGAGGGATTGGAGTTGCCAAAGGGTCTTTTCCCTGGGGTCCCCATTGACAGAAGCCTACTGCGGTGATTTTCTTCGAGAATACAACCCCTGTTGCCATGCATGGCCACATTCTACTGTCGAGAGTCACAGGGTGGATGCTGCATCATGAGATGGAATTACAATACTTCTTGGTTATGGAAGGGGTCAGCCCACGCATTTGGGGCAAAGCTTGTAGGTTGGATGCAGATGCTGATTCTCAAAAAGCCGCAGCAAGAGCTAAATGAAACTTTGTCAAAGTGAGGGAGCCCCCTATAACGTTTGTATTTTGAATTGTAAGCTCTTCAATAGGTAAAATCCAGAGCACGCAGTGCTGAAGACTCTGATCTAGATGAATGGTTCACGGTTCCGGGTGTGTAGACCCAATAGGGCTTATTCGCCAAAGTGACATGAAGCGACGCAACACGACCACATGGGAATTCTGGCCATCAACAATGCCCCTGTTCCTGGCAAAGCAAAAAAGATCCAAGAGCTTTGCTCATCAACTTGGCCCCCACATCACAAGAGCCTTCCATGCATCTTCAAACCAAGAGTTCCACATCTCAGGACCCAAGGGCACCTAAGATTTAGATCCAAGCCTAGCATGGTAGCTCAGGTCCTGAGCCAAACGCCCGGAGCCCTACCAGATATCAACCCGAACAAGCCGATGGTAAGGTGGCAATGCTTGCTCGGCCCTATGATCCCTTCAAACCCTGCTGGGCCTCGTTGCGAACCCTTGGCTTACAGTAACAAACCCGCAACAAGAACCTAAACCCTTCAGGCGCTGAAGTGCCAGCTATGCCACCCACCACGTCAAGACTGGTCCGTGTTGGATTCGCTGGGCTAAGGGCCTGGAAGGCTCTAAACTGATGTTTGGCTTGAGCTTCAGGAATGCCAAGGGCTTGGGGTGTGTAGAAGCCACATTTGGGGTGTCCCAGGCGGCAAATAGCAGCGCAAGGATTCGGCTTCAGGGTTTTGGGGGCTCAGTATTGCGTTAGCCAAGTCTAGCCTGGGTGCAGGACCTCTGCATTAACTCCACAGACCCCTGCGGAGAGGTAACGAACGAAGCAGAAGATTATGACTAGGTTGCGTCCCCCCAAACATAATAAGCACAACGTTCGCGTTGATGGTCTCCCCAAACCCTTGGGTAGTCAGAGCTTGCCCCTAGACACTAAATCAAAACGCTAGGGCCTGAATTTTGAGTCCTGAGCCAAAAGTAGAACACCCTAAACTGAACACAAAACTGAACTCCAAACCCCGAACCCTGCATTTTCCGGAGCCTGTGAGTCGCTGTAAGCATTCCAAGCTTCCTGCCGAGGATCAAACGGGCTCGGGGTCGTACGGGGAAGTCCGCATAGATGTCAGGGAGGGATGAGTGTGGCTTGCACGGGTGTTATGCTGATGGGTGGTCGTAAGACTTCTGTAGCTGACTGCTACCGGCTGTTCATCACTCAAACCAATGCAAGTGTCTGTTCGCACCGCCTGCCATGCTGACAAAAGTGAATTGCGAAGCTACGGCCAGAGTTGAAGATGTCCTCAGCGAGTGATGACTCATCTCCAACGCCCGCAAAAGGAGACATGCCCGGTTGGAGACTGGCTTGTGGCTCAGCCCTTTCACGCCCCATCGCTAAACTTACTCAATCCCAAACTTTCCAAACCCCTAGGCCCTAATTCCAAAGCCCTGCTCTACAACCCCAAAACCATGCATAAACCCTCACCCCTCAACGCCCTTAACCAGCGCAACATGGTGCCTCGGCACCAACCGCAAGCAAGGCTGGGTGTAGGGTTGGCGGCCACGGACCTCGCTAAGGCGCTAGGCTGCCAGGAAAGCCCCGGTTGAAAAAGCGATCAATATATGGAACCTGCGGGCGCTGGTGCATGTAACGATAACATAAATGTTACCTAGCTCGAAGTTAATGCCTACTTAGGGCCTGCTTGCGGGTTGGGGCGACTTTAATCTCAAGAGCAGGCTTGGCTTCACCCCCCTCGATGCATTGTCATGCATCTAAGGATCCTGCAGCGCTAAGCCCAAAACGAAAGGATCATGCTTCTTCAAGGACGGTCGCTCTCACTATGTGCCTTAAAGGCACATAGTGAGAGCAACCGCCTAGTTGTAACTCCAGACCAGAGAAACAGAGGGCTA